GATATCAGGATATCAACTAATGCGGACAATCCTGAAGGAACATTAGATGCAATGCTACAAGCTGTAGTGTGCGATGATGTTATAGAATGGAGAGAAGACTCAAGGAAGATTCTCTTGGTAATGACAGATGATGTTTTACACACAGCCGGTGATGGTAGCTTAGCTGGTATTGTAAAACCTAATGATGGTTTGTGCCACACTGAATATGATGAAAGTACTAATAGAACTTTGTATACAGCATCTTTACTACAAGATTATCCCTCACTGGAATTAGTAAAAATGGTTCTCACTGATAATGACATTGTGCCAGTATTTGCTGTTGCTGGAATTAGTGATGATATTTTTGCTTTATACAATAAATCAGTGAGCCCATTCCTCAATGGTTTTGCTGTTAAATTAGAAAGTGGTTCTTCTAATCTTATTCCAGTTCTAATTGAAGCTTATCGTAAAGTCGTGGCTAATGCTCAGCTAAGTTTTAACCTTCCTGACCACATTTTAGCCACTGTCGAAGCTAACTGTTCAGATTACTTACCACAAAGAAGAGAATGTGTTGAGATTGGTAATGAAACTGTTGAGTTTACAATGTCAGTTAGTCTGAGAGAATGCACACAAGAACTTAGAGATAATAAGAGTACTGATATAATAGTCACTATACCAGGATTCTCACAGTTTCTCATTAAAGTCAGTGGCCACTGTAGCTGTGAGTGTGAGTCTCAGCCTACTAGGGGCAGCACCGAATGTAGCAATGGGAACTTGACCTGCGGACTGTGTAACTGTGATGAAGGATGGGGAGGATCAACCTGTTCCTGTTCTACTCTTCAATGTCCAGTGGGTCTTAATGGGAAAACATGTAATGGTAGAGGAACATGTGAATGTGGAGAGTGTCATTGCTACAATGTCAACTCAACAGAATTGTCTGATATAGACTCGACTATGCTTGATACTACTGGTGTAGATAATCCACTGATATATGGGGCAGCTTGTGAGTGCAGTAATTATGAGTGTTTGACTGATGGAAATGGTGTTGTATGCAGTGGTGAGGGTGATTGTCAATGTTACAATGGTACGTATGAGTGTCTGTGTGGAGTATCAGCATTAACTGGAGAGAGAA